CGACAACTTTTCGATGAGAAATTACTGATCCTTCGATTTCGTTGTCGAACGAATATTAGAAAAAACACAAAAACATATATAAATAAAGAATATATACAAATAAAAACAGACCTACGGTTGACTTAAAACAGTTTTATAACGCCCAATGATCCGCGGTCTGCGTCGCTCTTACGTTTTCGAGCAACGATCTAAACGAACATTTAAGTCATCATTTTGCCATTTGGTCGAAGATGGACCGGCAAACAAATTCGCCAGCGTCAATCACGATTTGTTTCCCCGATTTTGAAGTTCCCGGATAATTCTCGGCGCCGGCCAAGATCAAATTAAGGCGAGCTTCGAACGAGTACATTAGCGCCGCGTCAGGAGTCCAGCGCGAAATGATTACCGTTGATCACGGTGGTCCGCGGACAGCCCCGGCGGAATACACTCTCGATGATCGCTCGTCCATCAACGTGAATAGCAAGCGGCACGATCATCAACGCGTCGGGCAACGTTTGCGTTCGCCCTTGGTCCCCGGCTGCGCAGCGCAAATTGACGCGGAAGCCGGGTTGTCGAGCTGCGAACGAGAGTGACGAGCGTTGCGAATGCACTGTTCGCTTAACATTTCCATTGTGATCGCAGCCCGAAGAAGGGCAAAGCGAAAAATGTCATGTACGCCGCCGGGATTCGGTTCGGGATTAATTCCATTCGGCCGTAGTCTGCGCGGGGCTCCCTAATTGCTGATGGAATATTGATTCGCGGCTGATCGCCGCGAGTCCCTGCCTCGATCGTCACGAAATACAGTGAATTCTCCCTAATTGGCGCTCAGATTGTGCACAGAAATGGAGAATTCCGGAAGAATAAATACGATTGTTCGAGCCTTATGGCTCGTTTTTATAGTCACCGATTGTCAACAACAATAAAAACGAGGCGCAATGCTCGAATAATCGTATCTTTTTCTCCCAAATTGTCCAATTGTCTTCTCAAATTTTTGCGCACAATCTGAGCATCGATTAGAGGGAATGTAATGAATGAAACGGCTGATCGCCGCGAGTCTCTGTCTCGATCGTCACCAAATACAGTGAATTCTCCCTAATTGGCGCTCAGATTGTGCACAGAAATGGAGAATTCCGGAAGAGTAGATACGATTATTAGAGCCTTGCGACTCCTTTTTATAATTATCGATTGTCAACAAGTATAAAAACGAGCCGCAAGGCTCGAATAATCGTATCTTTTTCTCCCAAATTGTCCAATTGTCTTCCAAAATATTTGCGCACAATCTGAGCGTCGATTAAGGAGAATTTAATGAATGTTGGAGCACGGAGCGTGGAAATTGGTTCTTTCACATTAAATTCGCAGAATCGAGTCAGCTATTCGAATGAACGAAATCGACGACACGACTGTAGGAATTCGAATGATGGAGCATAATAATGATCATCGTTTGCTGAAACCAGGCGATGTTGCCTCGTAACTAGACCGCGGAACTTTATGGGAAATGGAAACTTCGTGGTTCGATTATACAATGCAGGAGTTACATAATAACGTGTTTCTCCTTTTAACCTTTATCGGATGTATGTCATCTCGTAAGTGACATTATACGTTAGGTCTGAATATCTGATGTCCAATAAGGATCAATTCGGTGATACAAAATTTACCGCTAACTCTTTTAGAACGGACATCGATATAGCGACGACGTCGGGAATGTATATCTTATCCAGACGTTGCAAATGTATAATTCGATTGTGTGCGTAACGAAAGATCAGAATATACATATTCTTCAAATTTTCTATTATATGCATATATAAATATTTCGTGATCTATAGTTCCCTGAGAAAAATTCTATTGGGTTGGCAACTAAGTAATTGCCGATTTGTTCAATGAAATCAAAAATTTGTTTCCTTGGAATGAAGATGAATCTGTAATGTATTTTCCATTTTGTTCGATGACCTTTTACCATCTCTCTGACAACTTGAAAATTCCATGCTCGTAGAAAGTCTGATCCTTTTCGGCCAAAAACTGAGTTAAGTGAGATTTTACAGCGTCATCGTCATTAAAAGTTTTACCACGAAGGGAATTGTCCAGGGATCGAAATAAGTGGTAATCCGATAGCGCGAGATCAGGGCTATATGATGGGCGTAAGATCAATTCCCAACCAATATCCATCAATTTTTGCCGAGTGGACAAAGACGTGTGCGGCCTAGCATTGTCCTCGTGGAAAATAACATCTTTACGATTGACCAATTCTGGTCGCTTTTCCTTGTCCGCTGCATTCAATTTGTCCAGTTGCTAACATTCACGGATAATAAAAAATAACATAATAATAATAATAATAATTTTATAATAAAACATTTAAGGAGATATCATAAAAATGGGAGTGAGAGACATCTATAACTGAAATCGGCAATTACTTAGTTGCCAACTCAATACTTCAACGCTAAATCCTTATTTAATCGTTAAATCCTTATAATCGTATTTAACTATCGTTGCTTTATAACGTAGATAAGACTGCATTTATTTATACTTTTCGCCATTTGTATTATAGCAATTATGTATGGATCAAGAAATTTATGCGATCATTTTTTTTTTATGAAATCGCCTCGATAATTTCGGGAATATTGAAACAAAGAATGTGAAAGCGACGTTGCGATCATTTTCTCCGAAAATCCTGCGCGTAGAAAATCTCAACGAATCGAAACGTCGGCGGAAATAAAGAAATTGCACGGGGTACCATCCCCCCGGTTAAAAAAAATTAAGGGTAGTTCACGGTCGCGGCAGAAGGCGCGACGAAACGGCTGTCGGTTTTAGCGAGTTAAATTCGACACGCGATCGCCCCCGAAAAATCAAGATGACGGCAACCGAGCCCTGTCCGACGGGGACGAGAAAAACTCGCGCGAATTCGCGAGCCATTAGGGAGTTCCCCCCCGTTCTCCGTGGCTCTCGTGCCGATTTCAGCTTCTCCCGGGTTGGCGCGGCGCAACGAAAAATAATCTCTTTTCTTCTCGGTCTCCCCTTCTAGGCCGGAACGCCCGCTGCGGACGTCAAAATATGACAGCTCTCTCGGGTCACCACTTTCCGCGACAAGAGTTACGTTGAAGGGGGTTCCGACGAGCGATCATTAAAATAAAGCAGCGCTCCCGACCGCTTTCGGCTGCGGTCCGCTTCGCCGCTCTTTCCGAAACGCGTTCAGCCGAAAATAAACAACTTTTCGGAATAACGCGATTCACAGAGAAATTGCGCTATCTACTTTCGAGAATGTAAACAAATAGGAGATCAACGAATTCGAAGAATTCGACGCGGTCGGTTGAACCGGCAATCTTTAGATCAAATAGAAGATTTGTCAGCAGGATTAGAAAGTTATTAAGACATTTTGCTTCGCTAATGTCAAAAGTAATTTCTATTGTAATATATTCGAACGAACTGAATTTTACTAGATTGTTTAGAATGCAAAAAGCACCGTCCACTATGATGAATTTTAACTTTCTGATTTCAGTTTCATTGATTAAATTACTTTAATTCATTTGTAAATCATTTTGGGGGTTGATTTTCGGCGCTAAACGCGTTAATCAAATAATTCGCAAACATTTCTCTGCGAACATTTCTACTAAACTAGTAAACGGAGAATTTAACCGAGATCCTCGTCTAAAAGCAGAAAATGGATGATTTTTCGAGAGTTAAGGCGCTTCATCCCCCGCCATTGGAGGCAGTCGTCCTTTAACACCGGGCGTTATGGTAATAGTTAACATACATATATTGATGATAAGCGAATTCCACGAGATTAAGTGGCAACACGGTTCGTACATTTTCCGTTTAAGTGGCTGAGAGCCACTGCGGTACGCGGTTAAGCTGACGGAAACGGTAAATGGTTCGCATCCAACCCCCTCGACGAGACGCTAATTCATATTCATAGGTGTAGCGTTTAGCATTGTGCCGCTGGATTCTCCGGAGAATTTGCTCGGCGAAGAACGTAGAGAAGGAGAAACATCAAGTTACATTAACTTGTCGCACCGACCACGCACACAGATTTGCCGATCGCGCGTCGCGTCGTTTCCCTCGGCATTTCGGCCTTCGCAGAAGTACTGGGTGTTCTAGAAACGTCCAACCGGTCCAAATACGAATAAACTTTTTTGTTTGAGCGAATCGAAAAGTCCCTTGATATTTTCCAGTTCGAATATTTCACTCGGGGGTGGCTGCCCTCAAGTAATTCTTCTGCAGGTTTTTTTTATTTAAATACTAGGTGCAACAGGAATATGTAGTTTTAGATATAAAATATTCTTGGAAATTGCGGAATTTGTATTAATAATGATTTGCATTAATTTAGATTATTCTGACGATGCAAATCAATATTGTTTCAATTATTCGCTATTGGGGTGCGAAAGAAACACTACAGCCATCTAGTGTTGTCACATACGAATTAAGATTCTTCTTAGAAATGTGGAACTTATTTTCAAAATATTTTTTCAATGATAATTACTTTTTGTTGTAAATATATGTCTGTCTAATAATTTTAAACATGTGCAACAAAATTCTCTATCGTTAAAGAAATTAATATATTTCACTGAAATGACTTAATTAAAAAGTATATACAAATTTATTTATTCGAGGACGTTTTATTAAAAAATCAAATGTAAAATAGTGAAAGGGAGATTCAGATAGAATATATCTATATCTAAATATGGATAACTTTGAATAGCTTTTATGGTGGAGTTTTCTAGAATCGCCACGAGAGGGCTGGAGACGCTAGAGTCAAGGATTAAAAAGGTATCGAAAATAATCGTTTCAAACTGTTGTATCAGTTATAACTGAAACATTAATGAAGAACCAAAGAGATCTAATAATTGTTATAAGTATCAACTGTATCAGCTTCAGATATAATATCAAAAACCACGAATCGAAAAATGACGATTATGGAACCAATATATTGAGTCTGAAGAACGGAAACCGGGATCGATATACCTTACAACAATTCTGAGATTTCTTTGATTCTTCATAATAGTTTCAAGAACCAAAACTGATACCATAACTGTTTTTAAGTCCTGGTTTAATAAACTTTTATGTATGTGTGTAGTAGTGAAGTTGTGTACCCTGGATTGTATTAATATCCATTCTGTGAGTATTAATAAATCTTACATAATAATCTTACAAAATAATCTTACTAATTACTGCTGTTTCAAATTTATTAAATAATATAATGTTCACAATGTAAATATAACAATAGAAAATAAATAAAAAATTTACAAATAATTTTTGAAATTATTGAATCTATGTATATTTGTGCTAGCTAATAAAAATTGTATTTATAACTTGCAAACACGATGCAATTTTTGTAATTAACAATGCTGTAATAACATTATGTATCTCCTTCACCTTTTGCGGGTTTCACATTTGGCTTTCTAAGATGATGGTAATTAGGCAGAACTTTTAATAAAAATTCAAGTTGACCTACTTGTGGCTGTAATTAAATAATTGTTAAAGTCCATTGTAGAATGGTCTAGCACAAATACTTGGAATGGTCTAGCGATAAATACTTACATACGGTTTATCATACATTTCCCTACGGTGATAATCGCTTCCATATATTACAGTGTTTTCTGGGATCGTTTCAGGTTCGGTTAACGCACAGGCTGCTCCGACAACGCAACCATTGGTCAACTCAACTTGACGACCAACGTAAGCTATAAATGGAAGAACCATTTTAATTAACTGGATATGTAAGAAATATATTTTTGGTATAACATGAACAACCTTTGCTCTCCAATATGTTGTTATCTCCAATTTTATAAGCTTCGCAAATACAATCGGTTTCAAATACATTGAAGCTACCTATTATTTGGACTGGAATTGTTGCCGGTTCGGGTTCGCCCGGTGGTAATCTGCAACAAAAATTTCATTCAATGTTTCCAAATGTTAGGCTTTTGATATATTGATTATTATATTACTTGTTCGTTATCGTTGCCATTTCTTCAATAATATTCCCCTCTCCTATTATAATTGGTCCAGCTTCCGCAATAATACTTGCTCTAGGATGTACCACCGTCTTTGGACCAATAGTGATGTCTCCTTTTAAAATACTTTCGTCGCATACTAATGCACCCGTTGATATTTTCAAGCTGCGTGAACAAAATAAAATCTATAACATCCTTGATGTGTACAAAAATATATCAAAACGGTACACTTAACCTCGAAATAAAATATAGTAACTTAAGTGAGAGCACTATTTAGTATTTAAATAAAGTCATAAACATTTGTTATTTTTATATTAATACAGCCAAATTTATAAAGCGTGAAAGTAATAATTTATTTAGGTGTAATTGGTAAAATTTCTTACATTGTACGACGACTGACAGACGAACTCATTGTTGTTGGTTGACAATCACGTGGAAACACGTCCTCTTCAGTAACTTCTACAAACTACTGTATTCTGATTTCGAATTGTACGATAATTACGTACCGATAATGAAAGAAACAATCATGCGCTGCACATATTTTATTGTAATTTTATTGTAATAAATATTTTTATTAAATATTATAGCAAATTCAACCTTTTAAATTCACTTAAAATATAAGTTACTTTAAATAAACTATACATATACCGAATTTATATCCTAAATAAAATCAGGTACCGAATAATTAACAACTCATACATTTATTAAATAAAATTGCAACATACCTTTGGCATGTTGCACTTCATAAACTATACTTACTATAGACGTGGTAGGATACTTATCTTATAAAAATTTAAACATCACTTATAATTAATTTTTCCAGAATAATTAAAAAGTATGTCATAAAATAACTTTTAATGTTATTTATGCGCACTTTATAAATGCGTCTGGAGAGATATATCAGATATCAAAATTAATAAGGAATTAATTCTAAAGTAATAGAATTACTTTCCAATGACTGTGATTAATTGAATTATCTTTAAGTGGTATCCAACTATAGACAAGCGTTAAATTTACTTATTAATATATCATAAAAATTGCGAAGATTATTCAAAATTTAAGTGAATATCCATTTATTTTTAAATTATATCATGAAAGAACAAGAACAAGCAGATCACCGAAAAAGGATCAGTAAAAAGGGATGAAAAGGACGACAATATCCGAATGACAGGGCAGAGGGTTGGATCGATAGCGCATGATCAGCGCCACCCGAAGAAAACAAACGCTCCCGCTGTTTTATTATTATTTTTTTTTTTAATCGATATTTAATATAACTCTATATTATCCGTCAACTTTTATTTATTATATATATATATTTTTATATATTATATATTATAAAATTTAACTCCAAATTGCGATAATAACGTCTAATTGCAACGTGCGTGCGCGTGTACGTGTTGCGCCTTTGTGTATGTGTCTGTTTTGCATTTTTTTTTCTTAATATTCCTTAATTCTCTCTCTCTTTCTCTCCCATCACTTTCTCTCCACCATTCGTATTCGTAATATTCTTTTTTTGTCGCTTATTTTGTCTGTATGTTTAACCGTGCCCGCCCCGGTTATCTTCGACGTGTACGTGTATCCATGTCTCTCTCTCGATGTATGTATGTACGTATGCATGTAAATATGTATGTATGTATGTATGTATCGCGTGTACATGTGTCATCTGTATCGCGTGTAACTGTATCGTGTACGTGGTACGCAGTGTACATATGGGTGGGTGGTTCGTGGGTGAACGATTACAGGGTGGTAATGTATCTTGCACTCGCGCGTACGTGACTGTGTACGTGTTTTATCTACAGTTAAACGAATTCTACGCACTTACTCGTTAATCGGCAGAATAATATGCATTTCTTAATTTCGCTATAAGTATATTTAAACCGTCCGAAAACGTATCAGTCGGCGCACCGTGACGGATTCGCCATCGCTCTCGTCGAGCCCCCTTCGTTCCCCTATGTTACCCCTCCCCCCGGTCCCCGTACCCCGTACGGTCACAACCCCCCGCACATACTCGCATTTTCTCTCGCCAGTTTGCCTCGGGTTCCGAAAAGCCAGAAACATCAACGTGCCCGCTCGCAGAAAGCATATTCATCGCCAATCAACCCCTGTTCCACTTCCTGCTAGATTGGCCAAAAAGTATCGTCAGAATTCCCGATAACAAACAAGAGTTTCACGTGATTACAAATTATCTTCGATTTGGACGTCAACGGACTGCGGATCTTCGTGCATTTATCCGCGCATAAAACATTCGAATCCGAGAAGATGCACGCTCTGACGAAAATAAATAGCGCATTCGTTTTACTTGTACTCTAAAACATCGTCTGGTTAGCTGAAGAAATTTTTCCGACTATTCCGATGCTTGCAACGATGCAACATTGCACACAGATTCGCGATCTATGGGTCTAAAATCTGTCTCGGTCCATCCCCGACATCATCGTTCCGCGTTTCAGAAGCCTTTCGTGCTGCTGGCGCCGCGGTCTTACATCTGCGCGATTAGCGTAAAAGCGTAACATTACGAAAAACTCTTCGCGTCGTTCGTCCTAAAATTTAAACGAATGCCCAGGAGAATTTGTACGCGCGAGTAATAATATTGGAATTATGGTGAACGATTTTCCACGAAGAAAAATACATCGATACTTCTTGGCCAACGGAACATCTCCCGTTTCGATACGTCGCTCGACTCGTTCGAAGAGTAGCAAGCGATGATTAAAAAGTCCGAATCCCTGAATCGGCACGTGTCCGAGCACCGTCCACGATACCGGACGCGTTAGAAACGTTATACATATATATTTGACGATTTCCGCGAATTAAGAAAAAAAAAACAACCAGATCTCCGCTCGATTCTCCGATCGGACGAAAACGGCGTGGCTCGGTCGGACCGGTCCCGGTGCCGTTTCAGGGACGCTCGTTGCTAAATTACAGTAAGAGAAGAGAAGCTTTCGCTCGGGACGCGGACGATACTTCACCGTGGAACTTATCTAAAAACGTTTTAACGTCTAAATCGGTTATGGTCACGCTACGCGGTCTTGCTAAGCTGCGCTAAAAAATGTGGGACGCCTTTGCTCTCGTAAAGTATCGGCCAAGCTCTCTCGCGGTGCGCTACCAAAAAGACTCGAACCTAGTCGTCGAAACTCGGCTAACCGACGATCTCGAAAGCCAGAACTGTATGTATATGTAGTCGGATCGTTACAAATGATACGCCCACTCGCCGGACAAAATTTACGCGTGTAACGCCGGTCCAATCCAGGATCAAGTACAAAAGAACGGTCGAAATCTCGTAGTAGACTCTAATCAAGACTCTAAAGAAGCACATGTCGTCGCTTCGAACAATTTCTTAGCGTTTATATCAAAAAGCCTAGTCCGATACCTCTGTGATTTTTACGCAACAGGTTGAACAGCGTCTATTCAACCGCGAAACATCGGATCATTGTGAAACCAGCTAGAACTCGTGATCGTGTGTACGCGCTAGAAAACGCCGCCCCTAGAAAGCGGACGTGCTCGCCCCGCGGCAACGTGCGTCGAGACACCGCGCAGCTGATCAACGGGCGTCGATCGCGGGATCGTCGTCGATCGCGTACAAAAAGAACGGGCTTGGCCGCGTCTCCGGTGAAAAGCGAAGCATTTCCGTTGGTCGTCGATCGCCGGTCACGTTGATCGGACCCGACGAGAACGTTTCCGGGATCGCCCCTCCCGGAGAGGTCCGTTTTCTGCCTTCGGTCCGACAGCAGCCTCTCTCTTCGGCCTTTCCGTCGTCGTAAATGACTTTTTCCGCCGGGTGGTAGCTACGATGCGGCGAATTGATAACCGACACTATTTCGTCTCGCAGCCACGAAAGGATCTATGGATCTATGTACTCCCTATTCAGCGCTCCGTTTCATCCATGTACTTAATCCGGACTAATTTCTGCGGGAGGGTGTTTTCTGCAAATGAGAGAGAGTTCGGGCGTCGCGCGAGTGTTAGGCTTAAATCCTTCACGCTGTCGGCGAGTGTGTGATCGGCGAAGCTGTCGCTAGTTTACGCGGCGGTAATTCCAACGAGTTTGGAGGGGTCAGAGGTTTTCCAACGCGCGAGTCGGCGGAGAGAATGTTCTGAGAAGAGACCGATGTTCCGAGCGTGGTGGTATAATAAGAGCGTCAAGAAGAGGGATATCATGAAACAGCGAAAAGAATTAAATTTCAACATTTTATCTAGGAAACCTAATACATTCTAGATTCGATATTGCAGTTGGAGGCGCACGCGTTGCCGGTCGTCCGACGTGCTGCAACGAATCGATGAAATCCTCCGCATTCCGTCGCTTCGACCGATAACGTGAATTTTGAGGCTTGGCCACAGCGATCTCTCACTCTACGCGCAAGCCAATGTCGTGATTGTTTTTTCTTTCTTTCGTTTTCTACACCGGCGCACATTTTTCAAGGAATTTTGTACATTCGCATCAAGAAGTCCTCGCGCGTCGAACCGAACTCGACGCTATTTATTTGAACAACCCGTCGAACGAAACAGCAACACGTGTTCGCAACGCGCGCTCTTCGATGCGCGAAACGATCGAAACGAGCAAATCTTTCGCTAATTGTGTGTCGCGGGAGGTAGTGGATTCGAAGGTGAGATCGAAAGCGGCTCGGGGTGGTTGACAGACCCGGTAATCGTTCGATGTCGTGTAAAGTGAGAGCGATCGCCGGTGCCGCGTCGATCAGATTTATTTCGAACTTCGGAACAAGAGAACAATATAGGTTTGCGCTACAGTGAAAAAGGCACACGCACCAAATCTGCCAGTCGTCGATGGTGTACGAGAACGGTTGCCGGGCAAGAAGTCGCAACGGGCTTCCGGTTCTCGCAGCAAGTACGAAGGGATGAAACAGCGAACAAAAAGGAGTACATGAACGATCCGGTCGACGGCCGGTTTGTGAATCGCGCGGATCGGCCGTGCGCTCGGTTTCTCCGTTCGTCGATCGTTAAAAAAAAAAAAACGACGATCGAATCGATCGATCGTTCGGCGCGCGTCGCTCGTTCTTATTGCGTGTGTGGCCGGCCGACGAAAGCGAGGAAAGCCGGTAACGGTGCGTAAAAAACGCTTCGAGAGGCTTTACCGCGGCGATGGTTATTATTATTTAGTTTAAGAAGTACGTGTTTACGTATAAAGAGACGCGTCATACAGTGCCGTACAGTACCAAAACGTTTATAATGCGCACATAATGATTACCTCGATTAAACCTCTATCTACGCGCTCGCGCAGGCTTCGTGTATGTAAAAGTGTGTCGTCAGGGTTCGTTTCTCAGTTTCGCTGCGGGGGTGGTGGTGTATGTGGATCGTGTGTGTATACGTGTGCCAGTGTGTTTCCTTTTTCCTCTCTCTCTCTCTCGCTCTCGCTCTCTCGCTCTCTCGCTCTCTCACATGTTGTGTCCGCGAGCCGACCAGACCGGTCCAGGGACAATATATCGCTTTATCCTCATTATTTATATTTATATTTATATCTCTATATTCATATATACACATATAC